CACACACATATATATATATACACTAGAGGCTCGATGCACAAAATTCGTGCAAGGGTAGACCTTCTTTTCCCCGGCTGCTGGCACCAGCTTTGTCCAGAAGAAACATCGGGTCTAATTAGCATATTATGCTTTTATTATTATAGATATGCATAAAAAAGGAATCGGAATGATACACACACACACACTAAACAAAATTGGTCATTCCAGGATAAGGACATTAAATGAGGGCAGAGAGGACTTTCAATTAAAAAGAATTTAGGCATTATTTATATGTCTAAAATTCTTTTTTAAAGAAGAGATCTCTGTAGTATGCAGTATTGGGTGGAGAGAGGAGAGGGCAGGTGGGGGAGGTTGTCTTCATAATCTGCCGTTTTCTGTCATGTTTGCAGTAGGGTCAGTAGGAGATTTTATCTTGGAGTGCTGGGACTCATTTTCAGCCTGAGGGAGTATGAGGCAGACAGACTTAGCCAGGAGGGGAAGAGGCTAGAAGAACCTGGAGCCAGAGAAAAGGTAGGATAGGTTGGAGTCAGTGAGATCAGATCACTGTTGGGGAGGGTTAAGAATGAGCCTTAGGGAGCCAGGGATAAAGCTCTGGTCAAAGCGTTAGGAACTTGCACCAGTTGTCCCATGAATGAATAGACAAAGCTCTGATCGTTTATTTACTTTTTTCACCAAGGGGCTGACTTCATCCTGGAGTACCTTGACAAAACTCTAGATTGTTTTAATAGGACAGATGACAAATTGTTTCCCACCTGTGGGCTTCCCTTCATGCCAGCCTTGCTTGGGTTTATTCTGTGACCAGAAAAAAGAGTTGGAATTCTGAAAAGTTGCTTTAGCCAAATCCTGGGAACAAAGGGGGCCTTGTTCAGGGTTATGCACATCAGCGTTTGGAGGAGTTTAAGTCATCAGTTCGGATCTGTGCTTTTCAAGTCCTTGCTCTAGTTAGCATTGTGTTTCTCTGTCTGCAGAGGGGCAAGCCCTGCGGAGGAGTAGGCAGTGCTTCTTGGTCACTCCCCTTGAGGCCTGTGCCCGATTCTAGTTGCACCAGTAAGTTCAGCCTGAGCAGAGCCAGGCCCTACTGGTCCTACAGGGACACCTGTGAAGAATCCGTAAGAAGGAGGCAGACATTGCTACTGCGTTTGGCTTCTCCAGGGCTACATGGATGCTGCTATATATTTCTAAGATCGCCATGGGTCACGTAGTCCACTAGAGGAAGGGACACAAAGTTCAGCAACTGGGAGTGACAGTCACCCTTCCGTGAGTCACCTCCTCTCCTATTGCAACGTCCTGAAAAGTTACCAGCATCGGCAGGTTAGGGTCCTGGCCGAATATGGCTGAGACCTGGAGCACATAAACCAGTCCTGAAACTTGTTCCCGGTTAGGTTTATTTTCCCTGTAGACAGCAGCTATATGGTAATTGACATTCTACCCCCTGGGAGGACTCTGGGACATTTCGCAGGGCCTGGGGGATTCCAGCTCCCCGCGAGGAGAAGTTGTATGCACAATGTGTTGCTCCCTAATGCTGGGTAACTGTCCTGTTGCCAGTGTGAGCGTGTGGCTGTCATTTTATTCATTTCTGTCCCATTCTCTTTCCCTTGACAGGGCAATTTGGTTTTGATGCTGTGCCAGAACTCCTGCGACGATGAGTTACTGGAACTCGGAGAAAAGGAACTGTGTGCAGTACCGCAGGCATTTTCTGGTGGACAACAGCGTGTTTCATGGTGAGCTGCCTTGGGTGTTTGTGTGGGTGGCTTTTGACTGTGTCTCTGACAGCACTTTTCTTCCAGCCTCTGGGTGCAAGGGTGGCATAATTGTTGGGTTGAGCCAAGAGCTTGAGTGAACTTGTTTATGGGTAATTACCAAGGAACTCCATTGGACCCCTTCCCCACAGTTGTAAGCAGTGTGCCCCACTTCAACTACCACATGTGCTATCACTCTGTGCCTTACAGGTTCGTTTATGTCAGTGCCTTTTCTTTCTTTCTTTTTTTCTTCTTTTAAATACATTTTTATTGATTTCAGAAAGGAAGGAAGAGGGAGAGAGACAGAGAAACATCAATGATAAGAGACAATCATGATCGGCTGCCTCCTGCACGCCCCATACTGGGAATCGAGCCCGCAACCTGGGCATGTGTCCTTGACCGCAATCGAATCCGGGACCCTTCAGTTCGCAGGCTGCCGCTCTATCCACTGATCCAGACCAGCTAGGATCAGTTCCAGAAATACCCTTTTCAGATGTTTGAAACTTGTGGATCATCAATCAGGGCTTATTACCAGCACGGTGTGTGCCTTCGATCGGGCCGCATGTAAAGCCACCACAGAACAGTTCACAGCATTTAACCAGCGCTATCGGGGGGTATTACCACAGCCGTAAATCACAGAGGAACTGGGATTAGTCATTTGCGTGGCGCACAAAGAATGATTGCTTTTACCCTCCTGGCTTGTTTACGTTGTGGTGTACAGTCAGGGATAAGCTCTGCCAATCCTGCTATCAGGGATACCCTTGAGTGAGATTTATTTGAGAGGCAAGGATTTATGTGTTTCCAGAATTTTTGGTGTAATCTCCACAAAAGCCGGTGGAATTGTAGCAGAAAAAGAGATTTCACAGGCAGTGGAGGACTTTGACAGGATCCCATAATCTCAGCTGCCTTCAGCTTTCTAAGTTTGTTTTTTCTTCCCCAATTTGGTGACAGACAGTGTTTTTATTACTTTAAAATGTTTAAGATAACAAACTTTATTAAAGCACTTAAGAGTTTACAGGATGTTTTTCCACATTCCTTGTACCATCTCACTATAGGACTTCCCTAGGTAGGAGATGATTTTATTTTATAGGTCAGGAAAGGGGAGCAGAGATGAGATGGCCAGCCCACGTTGAGCTAATTATTAGCAAGGGCGGAACTGAAATGTCGGCCCCCACCTTTCCAGGCCGGCTCTTGGCCTCTTCGCCTTGCAGGTGAAGGAAGGGCCCTTAGCACAGGAGACATGGGAATCGTGACTTAACCTGGGGCGCTGGGTCCTGTTTCGTTTTTCTGTGACCCTCATGGAAGGGGTCTTGTTCATTGCTTCATCACTTACATACAGTGCTTGCTGTGTGGTATTTTCTCTCAGAACTTAAAAAAAACCTCTTTATTGTTGAAAGGATTACATATGTCCCCTTTTTTCTCCCATTGACCCCTTCTAGTCTGCCCCTACCTCCTGCCCCAGGCCTCCACCACTCTACTGTGTCCATGGGTTATGAATATATGCATACAAGTTCTTTAGTTGATTTCACAGCCCCCCCGACCCCCCGCCTTTCCTCTGAGATTCAACAGTCTGTTCCCATGCTTCTATGTCTCTGGATCTATTTTGTTCAACAATTTATTTTGTTCATTAGATTCCCCATATGAGTGAGATCATGTGATACTCGTCTTTCTCAGACTGACTTATTTTGCTTAGCATAATACTCTCCAGGTTAGAACTTTGTATTAAAAATATAAATATGGTAATAGAAGAAACACAAGTGTTAGAAAAACTAGCTTTATTTTTTCAAGTTTCATATTGTGCCAGTTTTGAAGAAGTTCAGATTTTCATGCCTTCGTACATTATTTTAGGACGGCTTTGTCCAGAGATCTCAAGTTTATAACGATTTAAAAACCATTTCCTATGTGTGTTTATAGTTGTATAACCACTGAGTGTATTACTATATTGCAGATACTTATGCTGAGGGCTTGATGATCATTGTCGTATTGAATCCTTTCAATACCTTTGCAATAGTTATTACTCATCCCATTTTATGGATGGGGAAAACAGAGGCTTGGGAGAGGTGGTGAGGTGGTTTTCTAAAATTTAAATTGTGTTCCGCCTAACTTCAAAACCTTACTATTGTCTTCCAGGCTGTCATCTCCAATTCAGTAGAGAAATTAGTTCCCTGAGAGGTTTAAGTTCTATTCAACTGTATTTTCTCCTGTATTAACTAGTCCTATGTGATCTTGAGCGGGTTATATAATCCTTTAGGATCGTATTTCCCTCCTCTGTTAAATGAACATGCCGGCCTTGATGAGTTTTTGAGGTTCTTTTGAGTTCTAATATCTGAGATCCCATTGAAGTATTTCTGAGAATAAGAATTACTATATTTTGTGAGCTTCATTTTCACTAAACATGACATACACAAGAGGGCAGTAGAATGCTTAAAATATGAACAGATTACTTTTTACATTCAAGAATTATGCCTTTTGAAAGGTTGCAGAGGTTTTACATCTGCTTAAGATTAAAATGATTAAAGCCAATTAGAATTATAATTCTATTCATTTATAGTGAAGCAGTAGCTTAAAGTGTTTCTGGTAGCATAAAATATCATTTTGGATTTTTATGCCCAAGGCTATGTAGTTCAGCAAAGAATGATGCCTCTGCTCTTCTTTACCTCCGCAGAAAATTAATGTTTTTAATGTAGGAACTTATTTAATGTAATGGAGAGTTGTCAGGATTCTTGGTATATTTTAAGCCCAGGGAGCTCTAGTGATAATATCTTTGAAGAGGATTTCAGAACATTTCTGAGAGAAGAAAGGGACAGGACATGTTTAGTCAGAAATGTCAGATTTCTTTTAGAGAGGCTTCAGGAACATAGGATGGGCATTTGGAAGCTTTTTGTGGATTAGCTTGGCTTCTCCTTGTCTCCCCATAATTGTTTTAACATTTAAATCAATCAAAACAAAAAGAAAATTGTCCATTATAAACAGAAAACAACCATTTCCTCTGCAAGATAATTGACTTGTAGAATACACAGACTTGGATGTGCAAATTGTGCCGGCCAGACTCCTTTTACACAGATTTAAGTGGAATTCCCAGCAGAAAAAAACTACATTAAAGTGAGGGTTATGTGGGCTAAAATGGTCAATACAAGTAGCAATAAGAATGTGAATAGGTATACTGTTTCACAGTTCATGAAGCATATTCATAGCCTGATTTTATGGTTCTCACTGGAAACAATTTAGAAAATTACCCACAATCCAAAAGAGAAACCCTGTTACTAGTCTGTTTCTGTCAGTCTTTTATCTATTTCATCTTCGCAATAACGCAGATATAGAAATGGATTATTTGGAAAATCTGGGAAATGGTGGATGCTAGTCAACAGAAATGAGCTGGTTGATTTGACTTAATTCTGTGTCCAGTGATGAGCGGTATCTTGTTAAGAGTTGTGAAAAGTTGTTTTTGTATTTCCCACTAGTCTGTCCTTTGCTCAGATTTTTAGGGAATCTACTGAATTCAAGGGGATTGTGTACTTGTAAGGAAGCCATTCACTGGAGTTTTTCTCTACTTGGCTTTTATTCTTCTGATATATTTGAAATGGAGAAAAAACTTGGGCAAAGGATGATTTGTATAGTTTTAACCTTTTAATGTCTTAAACATTCATCAAAGCCTTTTTACTTAAAAATTACCTATATCCTCAGCTGTTTTTCTTGGTTGAAGTAAATTGCAGCATTTTTTGAACCTGGGACACAGGTTCTTCCCACCTCCTCCCCCCATTGATCTTTAGAGAGAGGGAGAGAATGGGAGGGAGGGAGGGGAAGAAAGAGAGAGAGAGAGAGAGAGAGAGAGAGAGAGAGAGAGAGAGAATGGGAGGGAGGGAGGGGAGAGAGAGAGAAATTAAAAATTTAAATTAAAGCCCATAGCCTAGCGTGTGTTTTACCCACATGCACAATTTCAACTCCTAACATCGATGTGAGAGAGACAGGTTTGATCATGTTGAGTGGCTGCCTCCTGCATGTGCCCTGACTGGGACCAGGGATCAAACCTGTAAGCAAGGTACATGTCCTTGACTGGGAATTGAACCTTTGATCCTTCTGTTCATGGACTCATGCTCTAACCACTGAGAGAACAGGCCAGGCGGGACAGGTTCTTTAACCAATAATCACTGTATTTTTAATTAATATATACAATTTCTTATGCACATAAGCTTTTTCAAATATTTGAATTTCTTAATAGAATATACTTAGAGGTGACTTAATTTTTGTTTTCATGCATTGCTAGTTATTGGGATGTTGGGAAAAAATTAATTGCTTTCCTATAAGTTAATTGTGGTATCATCCCAACTTACTATATTGAAATTTATTTCTGTTGCTGTCATTTTGTTATAAGTGTTAAATAAAAATGTAATCGAGTAAATTTCAAAGATCTAATTGGCTTTATTGATCAATTCATTAATTGAGCAGCATCCCATCTAGCAAGTAGAAAGGAGCCGTGGAGGGCTATAGAAAGGGGAAGGTTTGTAAAGAAAGAGGGGGGGTGGGACAAGGAACTCATAAATGAAGAAATGATTATTTTGGGGAAGGTCACCTGTCTTTGGGGAGCAAGAAAGTTTGTTAGGAGGATTACCTCATTAATGTTGACCAGGAAATTCCAGACTGGCTGATTAAGATGACATTCCTGAGGGAAGTTGTAACTGTAGTTAAGTTAACTATTAAGTCTTGTTTGCTGACATGGGGCTTAGCACAAGTGTCTCCATTTTGGGCTTGTTGTTTCTTAACATGTGAATATTTCTGAATAACCATCATAAATCTAGACTAGGATATTTTGAATTGAATTATGAATGTCTCTTACTATCTAGGGATAAAATTAAGGATCATTTTCTTATAAATATTTATGTAGTTTGTCTTTTCAAAAAGTTCCTCATATGGCCTTGGCCAGTTTTGCTTAGTGGTTAGAGTGTTGGCCCACAGACCAAAGGGTCTCAGTTTCGATTCCCGGT